GGGATTAGTTGGGGTTTTGTAGGGGGAGGAGGGGGTAGAGAATAGGCATTTTTTATTTATTTTGTTGAAAATTAGTTTTTTTGTTTTTTTTTATAATTTATTTTAATTAATTAGTATATCCAAAAGTCACATGTTTTCTTTTAATTAGTTATCAAGATATGTTATTCTTGAGGGTATTGCATGCACTTTATTATAATTATAGTTTAATTGTCAAGAAAGTGTCAAAATGACATAACATGTCCTTAGTTAAAGTGTCTAGAAAAAATTGGTGTCACCTTTAAGAGATCGACGATGGATTCCGCTTTAAGAGAAAATCACAAATGATGATCAGTTTCTCGGGTTACTTGCCAATATGTACAAGCAACAAAATTTATTTTCAAAAAGTGATCATATGTATATGTAATGTATCGAATATATATATAATGTATTAATATTGTATAAATAATAAATAATTATGTATAAATAATGTATATTAATGTATAAGAGATTTATATACATCTAAATATATTATTTATATAATAAAGTATACATGGCATATGATTTTTTTTTTTAAAATCCCAACCAACTCAAATCGTATCTAAACAGTCTAAAAATTTAGATATGAGCTCCTATCAATGTTTCGAGTCTTTTGATAAATTAAATTATTCACGCAAAACGATTTACGTTTTTCAATCTCAACCAACTCAAATCTCCTCTAAACAGTCCCAAAATTTAAATATGAGTTCCTCTCAACGTTTTGAGCCTTTTGATATATTATTCACTCAACTCATGTTTGTGCCAGATCAAATTCTAAAATTTGAGCTTCGAAGCTCTTCAGTGGCTAATTTCAACCGATATATTTTTTATATGAGATTCCATTGTCTAGCTAGTTCGGTGCGTTCACGTTTATGGACCGGAGGTCCTTCCACCACCGTGTCAGGGTTTTTGAGGCCCACATCAAGTCTAGCTTTGATACCATAATAAATTAAATTTGAGTCTAACTCACATATCAAAAATTAGATCAAAGATAAGAGAATTGTCTAAATTTTATAAAAGAAACCCAAGATTTCATTTATTTTTCAATGTGGGACATTCCATTTATCAATACTTCACTAAAAGAAGTAAATGATCGAGCCAGAAAGTGAATTTTAAAAACTAGATAAATATTCATTCAAAGTAAAATACTTTAAAAAATACATCTAATAAACTATATATAAACCTACATGTGTCCTCTTTTTTCTTTCTAATAAAGACTAGGATTATTAAAACCAAGGTTCTTAATTCTTCCAACTAAACTTCCTTATGTTTGAATTAGACAACAGTAAGTTTGACCAATAATGTTGTTTCTATTCTAAATTTGTCTCTACCAAGAGCCTTCAATGAACTTATTCATGCGGTCGGAGCATAATCATAATCTCCATCATCATCTCCGTCTAACGATGCTGCAGGAGCATAGTCATAATCTCGATCATCATCGTCTCCTTCCAAGAATGCTGCAGGAGCATAATTATAATCTCCATCATCATCACCGTTTCTCTCTAAGCATGTTGCTGGTGTATAATCATAATCACCATCATCATCTCTATCTGAACACAACCTTCTTTTCTCGAACCCAATAATCTTAAAAATTCCAGACATACTATATTTTACTTAGTAGGCATTTGGCCATGCGATATCATATCACGATATGGTATCGTGAGATGGAATCAACGTTTGGACATGCGATTTTACGCTGATTCCATCTCATGATTCCATATCATGAGAGGTGATACCATATTCTCCAAAAACCATGATATGGAATTATATGGTGATTCCATATCATGATTTGAGATATTTTAATACAATAATTGATCCATGAGTTTATATTTTGTTAAAACAACCCCACATTTATATCTATTAACCATTTGTTTCATATGTAAATAAAATTTATAATCACATCATTACTTTTTAAAATTTATTATTCTCACCGACATAAAATTTATTATTCTCACCAACATATAGTCACTTTAACTCACACCTCATGATTGTGAAACTTTTCAACATTCACTTGATCAGCAAGATGGCACCAACATTTATACAACCAAAAAATATCGACTGTGTCAAGATTACCGAGGAAGTGAAAGAGAGCCTCAAAATGCCAAAGAACTATTTAATTATAGGCATTCATCTCTGCGCAATGTGATTGAACGGACTTTTGGAGCTTGGAAAAATAGATTTAGAATACTGAAACAAGGCATGAACCATTATGATATTGATACACAAGTGAAAATTGTCATAGCTTGTGCAGTGTTACATAATTATTTGCGAGAATACCAAAGTAGTGATGAAATATTTATGGTCTATGAACATGAAGATATAGTTGCGGAGGATATTGACCAACAAATGGCTCAAAGTAACATTGTTGGTTCGTCTTCTCGGTCACATGATCGAGAAATGCAAGTTCAACGTGAGGAAATTGTCCGTACTATGTGGGAGGATTATATTAAAGACTAGTACACTACAATTTATGTTCAATTTTTTTTATTAAATTAAAGTTAGATGAAACAATTACTTAAGTGGAGAACAAATAACTTTGTAATAATTTATTATGCGATTTTATAATTTTTTATTTATTTGATAAGATTGAATAAACAATTGGGGCTATTTTAATAGTTTTACAACTTATGAGATTTTTATGTTTATGAGAAAATACATAACACAAAAATTCCATATCGCATGTCCAAACAAACCTTCAATTTCATCTCATGATTCCATATCATGATACCATATCGCATGGCCAAACGGGCCCTAGAGAAAACTTTGAAATATGAGCTAGATGTATATTTGTACCTCTTTTGATAAGATGTGAAGATTAATGTTATGATAGGTAAGGTAACAAAATGCTTATATATAGGAAAGAGCCAAGTGTGCACTCATTTAGGCACGTTAGGAAGTGTGACTTTGACATGAAGAATGTGCAAAGCCATATGCTTGGCTCCAAAATTAACTTTACATGTCAAAAGTATATATATTTGTATATATACTTTTGGTGGGAATAAATTCACTCTTTCTTGAATAAACAAAATTTAGTGTGTGCATGCCACGTGGAAGTGTGTTTAATCTACGTGTATGCTTAGTTGGCATGCCACATAGACAAGGTTATACTTGCAGAACAAAATATATATGTATAATACATAAAAGTGCTCTTTAACTTATCCTTATATATATACTAGGGTGGGGAGGCCCGTGCTCCAATAGTAAAAATATGATGGTTGTAAAAATATTGTAATATTAATGAATCAAGGGTCAGGGCGTTTGTAGAAGAATGTATGCAGTGCAAGGTATGCAGAGAAACATGTAAATAGGCTTATATTGCAGTGTGAAATGACAAGCATTAACGCAAGAGCAAAGGGAGAGTACAGTTTTATGCTATCAGAAAGACACAGCAGACAAAAGGATTTGTTTGACCGTCATTTATTTGAATGTCAGCAACATTATTCATAATAAAATGTCAGAAGTCTAATTCTGTTGTTTATAGTTGAAAGGTAGTTTCATTGGATGTGAGTTGAGCTGCTGCAAGTAGGAAGGAGTCAAAAATTGGTGTCAGTGTGCAAAAGAGCTGCTGCTAAATCTGAAGCAATGAAATTGGTGAATTCTTGTAACTAAAATAAGCTAATTGAATAGTCAACATGAGAGGAGGAGGTAAAAAGAAATTGTCAACCAATTGATTTGAGCATGGATATGAACATGGATAGAGTGTTTTTAGCCCGGAATTAATGTGAGAGTGTGCAATGTTATGTCAGACATAAACAAAACCAAATTGTGAAATTTGAAAGCAGACATGAGCAAGTGCAAAAGCAGTAGTATAACATAAGTATGACACTTACAATGTTTTACAGGAACTATGTGGATACGTGTATGAAAGAAAGTAAACTACAGCTAAAAGTACAGATTTTTAGCAGCAATTTTTGGTGTAAATGTAAATATGTGGAAGTCATAATCATTTTGAGCCATAGTTTGGTGTGAAAGTGAGATGTAGACTGACCTGTTACACCTTTTTGGTTGGTGTGGGTGGTTCAAATTTTCCCAGTGCATTTGAAGGACCAGCTGCAGCAGTTGTTGCCATCACTTCTACCTCACTTATTTCCAAAGGCTTTATCTTTTTAGAAGTCCTATCAGTAGCGCTCTGTGTAGTATGTTCTTTTTCCATGTAGGAAAGAATGGACAAAGTTGTAGTTGTGGTATTTGAGCTGCTCCAAGATGACTTCCTTAGCTGAATTTCGAATACTTTACTTGACAGCATCTCATGGACATGATTCAAAGACAATGATTGTCGCTGTAAATGTAACAAGTTAGAACAAACAGTTTAGAACAAAGCATATGTGGTCAACTGTTTGTGCTGAAGATAGATGGTATTATGACAATAAGTGTGTACAAGTAGGTAGTGGGAATAAGAGATAACCTTATTGCAATTTATGTCAAATATGTCTTCTGCTGTCATGGACAATAATTTTTCTCCTAATTCAGCAGAGATAGATGTTGTGGTTGTACCAGTATCGTCAATAAGATCAATTTGGAAGCTACAGTTGAAATGAGGGGAAGTTTGAAATATGTGTATAATATACGCTATATTTTGTAGAAAGTGTAAGTTAGAAGTCAGAAAAGTATAGTACCGAGGCACTAAGGATGTTTTCCGATTGCATTTTGGACAGTCAAAATCCTTTCTATCCTTTGTTCGCTTCTTCTATTTGCATCCTGAGCATTCAAGCACACAGAAGTCTTGGAACTCATCTAATATGGCCATCTCTGCTTGAACATAGAACACTTCCATCTGTGGGAAGTTTTCAGTATTTAGGCAAAGCTATAGAATGGCAAAATGAATAAGGATTCTGTCAAATGAGGAGGTTCAAGTATGATTTACGGAAGGTGCTGATGAGATTCCTGCAATAGAGATAAGTTGTTGGCCAGAAGGGGTGACTATCATGGGAGCGATAGATGAGCTTATTGAGGTTGTATCTGATGGAGAACTTAACAACATTGTTTTGTTTTCTTTTGCCCTATTGTTAGAACAAATAATATGTTTAGTAGCTTCTTTACATGCGAAGTAAAGGTAGAGAATAAATATGAAATATGAGTACCAGTTGAGGAGTGCAACTGCCTGGGGGTAATTTGGATTCACCCGTACTGTGGAATTGTACCTAGTCTGCAATGACAGCCCTGTACAACACATAAGTTGTATATTGTTTTGTTATAATATAAAATTATGTTGGTAAGAAGTTGAGTGCATACGTACCTTGATAAGTAGAGATTCCTATACTTCTTCCAAGGATTACAAGGAGATCTGTCTCTGTTGTCATTTTTGAGGAAATTTCGTGTCCTTCTATTTCTCCGAAATCCTCCCATAGAGTGAAGAGGAACTGATTTTGCCTGAGAGTGCAGAACATAAGGACAAAAGAGTAAGGAGTATGATAATGCCTAGATAATAATTGATGATGTGAGTAGAGAAATGCAAAAAGTGGTTACTTATTCAAAATATTTGCAGAAAATGGGAAAGCAGAATGTCAAATGTTATACTTACTGATTGTCACAAAGGGTAATTTCTCGACAGCTATGATGACTGCGACCGGCGTTTTTTTGAGGGCCACAACGAAGAACGACTGCCAGTACATCTGCGTATATAACACATAATGAAATGTTGCAAGTGTTGTGCAGCAGTAAAGATGTGTATTTCAGTCTGATAACAGTTAGGACGATCGATGTACCTATTTCAGCAGCAGAATCAACCATCAGATGAGGAATGCGGTCAAAGCTGGTGATATTCAGTTTGGTTGGCGGTGGAAGCGGCTTTTCAACTTCATTAGATGGTTTGATTTGTTCAATTACTGTTTCTTTGTCAAGAATCCAGTAAAATTGATGTATTGGTTTGCCGTATGAGATTGGTGAGACTTTCACTCTTGTAGTAGAGATGAGGTACGTATTGAAGAGTTTAAGTGTAGCTGCATACTGCTCGATTTCATCAGTGTACATAACGGCCCTAATTTGGCATTCCTGAAAGTCAGAGTTATAGGAAGTTGACATTAACTAAGTTGAGAGGAAAAGAGCAATAGCTATAACATAAAATATACTAATGAGGTGACCTGTTCATCTTCCAAAATTAAATTTTGGAATGTACATTTCTTATCAAGGCTTTCTCGGGGGCGTCCTATTTCGACAATTTGAACTTTGCAAATCCAATCTCGTGTTGCTGGTTCTATTTGGTCGATGTTCAGTCTTTGTACCATGGTTGTAGGAAATATAGGTAACCAAATAGTAGTATCTGCAGGATAACATGAATATTAAGTCAAAGTAGTTTCGTTGTTGTGTTTTTATGAAGAGGGCTGATTAAATTAGGAAAAATGAGTTGAATGAAAGCAGCAGTGTGGAGTAAAATGGACCTTGTAGCTGCATAAATGAGCTTTTGATGGAGTAACAAAGCACTAAGAAATTCTTGTAACAGCAAGTTAGGACAAACACTGAAGCTAAAGTACAAACTCATAAAGGATGACATAGGATGTATCATACTATTTACGTTGTTGCTATGTTGATCTGGTAACCATTTATGTGTTATTAGTTTTTTGTCATTGATGAGGTACAGCTGTACAATTGTAGAATGCAAAAGTAGGAGATTGATAATTAGAGACAAAGAAAGCATGTACAGCCAAAATGACGAAACAAAGTATAGTACTTAAGAGTTGTACCTCTTACTATTGGGTCGCATGAGATATAAACTGCGGAAACATAATAAATTTTGTATGTTCCAAAAAAAAAGAAAGTGAAGAACAAATGAAAAACAAAACAACAGTGTTGTCATAGTAAAAGTAGAGTGATGTGTAAATCTGTTAGGGTCGTTTAGTGGAGCTCAATGAAGACATAAAATCATTTGGCAGGCATTATTAATGTGCAAAGTACAATTGGAGAAATCTTTTTTCACAGAGGATCTGTTACAGCGACAGAAAATGTTGCACAATATGAAAAACTTTACTGAAGCGAGTATGTGATGGCTTATGTATGACTTAGTATCATCGAAGATACAGTTTGTAGAAGAGACCTAATATGTCACATTTATATCCAAAGGCAGCATTAAGTCTTACGAAAAATGTTTCCTATTTTTCCTAGAAACTCAATTTTCATGTGACAATTTAAAATTTCAATAAAAAGAAACCAAAAAAAAAGACAAAACAAAACAGCTATGCTGCAGATATTTTGATCATGTTGGGCATGAAGGTAAAAGCAAACTGCTGGACCTATGGTATATCTATGAAAGATTGAATGTACCTAATAACTGTAATTTGTATCAATTTTTATTTTCTGTTTTGGTGAGAAGCAGAATCTGCAAGAAAAAATGAAAATGGGAAGAGGGAAAAGATGAAAAGGGAAGAAATAATACCTGAGAAAGGGAGCAAAAATTTATCTTGAGTGAAAGGCTAGTAAATTTATGTTGTATGAGTAATATATATGTAAGGGTAATATTATATATTATTGTATATATATATATATATATATAAATATGTATTACCTTATCCTTATCCGATTTGTTATTTTTATTTATTTTAGAAATATATAAATTATAAAGGACCAAAAAATGACATGTGTCTTGTTGGAAATTCATGGGGTTTTGGTTGCCAATGAAATGGTGCCAAAAAAGATAGAAAATCAGTACATTTGGTAGTCCAAAAAGAGACAAAATGATTACCTTTGACTACCTAATGTAATGATTTTGTTTGTTTTTTGGCATTATTTCATTGGCAACCAAAGTTGCATGAATTTTGAAGAAGACAGTTGTAGTTTAATGGTTCTTTCTAAATAACGAAAAAATTATTTATCTATCTATCTATATATATGTATATATATATATATAGAGAGAGAGAGACACTGTCACACACACATCAAACGATGTGTCATCTGGTTAGTATCGTAGCAAAAATAGTATAGGATTAGCGTTTTGTTTCTACTGTAAAATTGAATGTAGGAACTGTTAGGCTAAAGGTAGATAATGCATTTTTGTAAAAGTAAAATACATTTGAATGCCTAATAAGTTGACAAGCACACAGAGATTACTACTGCCTTTGCTTTTTCTTTGACTACATGGGAAAGTTGAATGGTACTCCTTGTAGCTTTCTCCTAAAGTAAGGGAAATTCATTAATGTGTATTTCACATTATTAGGGACTTTAACTGTGAATGGTTTGAGCCTATATGATTAGAGGGACTTTAGTGGTAGACAGTTGAGGGCAAATATTTAGCGAAGTTCTTTTATTGAAGGTAATATCTTAGTGTTCAATTAGGGTCAGTCAAGACAGAATAACATAGTACAATGTAGACTGAAGAATACAACAAAACAGTAACAGAGGGAAAAAAAAGAGAGCAGGAAAATGCAGAAACTTACGTTTGTCAGTCAGAAGTTTGTTTTTTATTTCACGAGCTGAAGAAGTGTGAGTTAGAAAATCTTACATAAGCTGTAGCAAGTATGCAGTGTATTAGTTAAAACTATGCAAAAACGAAGATTCAAATGAAGATTGCATTCTTTAGACCACTCTAATTAACTACAAGGTCAAATGACAGCCTAGCAACAGTAGAGCATATATGAAAAGACAGATATGTGGTAAAGGCGCAAATAGCAGCCGTGTGTGAGGGTGAAGCATATATGTCGTTAATACATTGGGTAAAGTTGTTGGATCTTCGGATAATTCCCAAAGTTAACTGTCTCTTTAGTGTAGAGCAGTTGGAGAAAGAAGAGTGTCTTGTTCTTTCAGCTAAACTACTGTAGTTTATTCTGCAAATGACGAAGTTGTTTTTTCCTGTTGAATTATCTTTCATTGACCTATTCAGTACATATTTCTTGTGGACATCAGCAATGTAGAAATCCCAGAAGGAGTAAGACATAGAGTGGACTTTTCCTCTAGTTTGACACGACATATATACTGCAAATCAATACTAACTAAGGCAACTAACGAAAAAATTGACTGACATTTGCACATTAGTACAGGGAACTCCTACAGTATATTACATTGGTTTGTTTAGAGGGCATTACCTGTATATCATATAACCCATTTAGGTATAGTTACATTTGATAAGAGCCCTTTTGTTCCCACTGAAATGAATATAGAGAGTACAAGAGAATGACTAAATATACAGTAAGATTTGCTTATGTAAAAGGACATGAACTTAGTAGCCAATTTTTTCACTTGTCAAAGAGAAACAAGTTGAGCTATGGGTTGAATGCCATAAATAAGAACAGAAATCTAAGAATAAGCGTCAGAAATGATCTGTACCTGCTTGCTCTGAATGCTGTATTTTATTTTCTATGTTGGAAACATTGGTATTCATTTGAGCAGAACCACCAGCAGAAGCCATGGGATGCAATGTCCGGACATCAGGAGAATTAAGCAGATAAATTTTTGTAGGAATGAAGTCTGTGTTACTACTGCCTGCAGATACAGTGATGTGACCATGTTAATCGTAGAGTTTGAAATGAAAAACAAAGGAATACAAACCACATCCACTGCGTGCAATTACCACATCAGTGTCTACCACATTCCTAGTTCGATAGAAATACTTAAGAGTTAGCTTTAGGTCTAAAGCGAAGCATGATTTTGCGTGTTTTTTCGCATTATTTGATTGGCAACTAAAACAACATGAATTTTGAAGAAGACAATTGTAGTTTAATTGTTGTTTCTAAATAAGGAAATTTTTTTTTAGTTATCTATGTATCTATGTATGTATGTATATATATATATATACTCTCTCTCTCTCTCTCTCTCTCTATATATATATATATATATATGCGCGCACACACAGACACACACATATGAAATGGTGTGTCATCTGGTTAGTATGGTAGGAAAAATAGTATAGGATTAGCATTTTGTTTTTACCGTAAAATGTAATGCAGGAATTGTTCGGCTAAAGGTTTAGGTTTAGGTCCAAAGGCAAGAAAAACTTACAACATGCATGTATAGATAAGTAAAGCTTAAGCATAGCAGAAAAACCATGAGTTAATAATTGTAACTCCTTAATTGAAAATCATACAGAAATTGAGTACATAATTGTAAAAAAAAAAGGTGAACAAGACAGATATAAACATAATAATACCTTGATCTCTTCATTTACCACTGGCATTTCCATTTGCATTTGCAGTTGAATGAACTGATGGAGGCGCAGGTGGTGACAATTGCTTTTGTTGAAGATGTGCATCGGCAGCAGAAGCTTTAGTATTCACTTCTACAATATCATCATCATTGGCTTCCAAATGTTGTAGCATTTTTTGGATCAGTGAGACATGCACATCATGATTTTTAGCGGCTTCTTTCTCTTAAAGTAATACTGTACTTTCAAACTGTTTGAAGTTTTCCAAATACATGTTTAGTTTTGCCTCAACTTCAGCTTCTTCCTTTTTTAGCTGCTGATTTTTCCTTTGCATATCCTTTAATCGATGGAGAATCGATTGAAGGATATGTAGAGGAAAAGTGAGGAGGAAAAAAAATGGAAAAGCTAAATTTGAGGCAAAACTGAAGTTATGCTTGGAAAAGTTAAAAGAGTTGGAAAGTAGAGTATCACTTTAGGAGGAAGAAGCTGCTAAAAATCGTGATGTCGATGTCTGAGTGATCCAAAAAATGGTAGAAGATTTGGAAGTGAAGGATGATCATGTCGTAGAAGTGAATAGTAAAGCTTGTGGTGCCGATGGAGATTTTGATTAAAAGGATTTTTGGTAAATGTGACTCAGTTTTTACAGATTCAAAATCTGTCTTAAGATTTTGAATTTTTGTCCACAGGTGTTTTTCGCAGATGCAATGAAGAACAAAAAAGAAGAAGAACAAAGACAAAAGAGAAAGAATAAAAAGAAATGACGATGTGGGGGTACCTGTCTTCATCAACAATTGTTGTGTTTTAAAGCTTAATGTTTAGATATAGATGAACTGAATGTAGTGTTCCTCCAATAGCAAAATCGTTCTTCAATTGCACGGTTACTTCTATGGTGAGCAGATTGTTGAAAGTATGAAAAAAAGCCTACAGGAAAACACAATGGACCAAGGGCAAAACGAAGTTAGAACATAGATAAAATAAACTCATGAGAAAAATACATAAAACCCAGAGAAATGTATAGTTGTGAAATTAGTGAGACCTTGAAATCATCAAATGTAAATAGAGGTGAAATTGACAATAAAGTAATATCAAGTATTAATTGTTACTTATCTTTAAAAAAATCAGCTAAAGTAAAATGATCTGAAATTTAAGAATGTGTAGCATGAGGGTGGCTAGTTGTTACATTTGTTGTTTTTAAAAGTATCATGAGAATGCTTTTCGAATAATTTCGTCATAAACTACATTATATGTAGAATGATCATTTGTATCCTCTGCTGTAGGCGGGCGTATTAATATTTTTACGTTGTCTGAAGACTTTACTTGAGATAAAGCAACATAAAGTTGTCCATG